GCCGGGCAGCTTTCCTCAGCACGGCAGCGCTCTGCAGGCGGGTGCCACAGTGGCCCTGGAAGTGAGTTTTGTGATTCAATCTGGCAGATTGGTTTTGGCTGGAGAATCACCGTATGTTTTTAGCATATGCACGTTGGCCATTCAGCTTTGAGATCATGGCTAACCAGCCTGTTAGCTCAGTCCGGCCCAGCACTTTGTGGAATTAAGTAGAACGGGCAAAAAGGCCTAGCAGGGCCGCGGGGCATGCCACGGCCCTGCGGAGTGGGGAACCACGCGGGCCCTGGGAAATCAGCCTGCAGGTGGCACAGGGGGTTGCCCTCAGCCACTGCAGCTCTCTCAGGGAAGCGTCAGAGTTACCTCTGTGCTCACGGAGCGCCTCAGGAGGAGCGGGGAAGATCCCTGCTCCGCCGGGCCTGTGCTCGGTGCCGCTTGGGGGAAGCAGGAGAGTGACTCGCGTCCTTGGGCCTAACTGCGGCCAGATCACTGCGCTTAGAGCCGCCACCTGCAGCCGAACTTGGTCCTCAGCGCCGTTAACTATTCAACTGCTCTGTAGTTGTTTGATGTCCATCCAGATACAGGAGTTCCCTCTGCCACAGTGTACGCATGCTACAGATATGTTCTTCTGACATTACGCATAGCACGTCCCACAGCAGCAGCCTGGAAAAGGGGGCCTTTTCCCTTTTATTAAGGCGAAGTTTGTAAAAATACAATTGTAGTACGTTTCTAATGAAATTCGTTACTTTTTTTTAAAGTGATCTTGAATTTAGTTTTTACTTTGATTTGCAGTTAATGTGGAGTAAAACTCCTGTGATATTGCACCTCATTTCCTAGTGCAGTTTATTGACAAGGACAGAAAAAGGGTTATTTCTTAGGATTGCTAAGAAATATCATAACCATTGTTTCTAGACTTGAGCTATTCTGGGACCATTTTATATCCTATAAGCAGAGGAAACTGTGAAGGCAGATTGAGTGGAGAAAGGATCCCAATAAATGTAATGTTATCCAGATGTCTTTCATTCCGTCGGTGTCTGACTGAAGGATAAGTCGCTCACTGTGGAATTTTGTGCCGCAGACCGTCCAGCCAAGGTCTTAGCAGCAGCTTGATAGAGATCCACTGAAAACTGAGAGCTCTTATCTTTTAAAACAAGAGACAATAATTGTTTTTACGGGAATTCAGAACAAAAACTTTATCTTTGGGCCAATTGGCTGTGATTAAATATCTTGCTCCTTTTCTGTGAGGATCTGGGACTGTCTGCATTGAAAGACGTGGCATTAGTTGAGATGATGAGCCTGGAATCAGATCCAGCATGGTAATTCCCATTTTTTCCTTTCTCTGCGAGTGTGATAGGTTTTTGCGAATTTGGAAAAATGTTTTGAATCTGAACAGACTAGCACCTGACTTAAGCTGGTTGTGTTTTGGGACAAGATGTTGTGTTTTCATAAATCATCATTCCCATTGTTATTGTATTCATACATAATTATACAGCAGGAGATCAGGAGATTCTTTTTTTTTCTCTCTCTCTCTCTCTCCTGCAGAAGGGATTTTTATCTGACAAGCCTAACTATAGATATGCCACATTTGCCATATGGACATTTCACGGTTGGTTTTGCCTCAGAGTCTTTTCCCTTCTCCAACTAATCGGGCTCCACAGTACAAGAGGGATGTGGAGCTGCTGGAGAGAGTCCAGCGCAGGGCTACAAGGATGATCAGGGGTCTGGAACATCTGCCCTGTGAGGAGAGGCTGAGGGAGCTGGGCCTGTTCAGCCTGGAGAAGAGAAGGCTGAGAGGGGACCTGATCAGTGTCTAGAAGTACCTCAAGGGAGGGAATGAGGAGGATGGTGCTGGCCTCTTTTCAGTGGTGGCCACCAACAGAACTAGAGGAAACAGCCAGAGAGTAAAGCACCAAAAGTTCCACAGGAACTTAAGGAAAAATTTCTTCACAGTGAGGGTGACAGAGCCCTGGAACAGGTTGCCCAGAGAGGTTGTGGAGTCTCCTTCTCTGGGGATCTTCCAAACCCACTTGGACGCAGTCCTGTGCCACGTGCTCTAGGTGACTCTGCGTGTGCAGGGGGGTTGGACTAGATGATCTCTAGAGGGCCCTTCCAACCTTAACTGTTCTATGATTCACCCTGTGTTTTCTTTCTGAAGGGGTGCCACAGGGTTTTTTCCCACCTTCACGTGAAGTTCAGAATAACACACCTTCGGGCCACTCTCCTGTGTTTTGCACTGTTTTGCTGCATTTTTGTCCAAAAGAGGGAGAAAAACCACAACAGACTCCGTTCTCCCCCTGAGCACATCTCCATCCTGTTCCCTTGGGTATGGATTTTTTTTCCGATTGGAGAATATTGCAACAAGCCTATGGATGCAATATTGACAGCCGCTGACGGCGGCAGCCGTGACTGTGAGTCCTTGCGAGGGTCTGCAGTGGTGGCGGCTCCCAGCACCACGTGCTCACCCGGGTTGCGCTGCTCTCTCTTAGGACAGCCCCATGACAAGGAAATTTCACAAAGCCATGATAGTGTGTTTTGGGGAAAACAGAGAGTTTGTGTTCTTGGGCAGCACCAAACTGCTGCGGAAAGTCCAGTCCTTTCACAGGGCTGAATCGGTTCATGTGCAAAATTTAATGAGCTGCCAAATGCTCCTGAATGTCAGAAAGTCTTGGGGAAAATGCACATTACAGAGCATGGCAGAGACAGAAATGTATAGGCAGAAATTCATTTCTTTGGCTTACGGCATCTCCCAGTTAATTTTCCATGAAGATTTCTTCCCTTCCTCCTCCTCCTCCGGTGTTTCTCAGACTGTGAAATGATCAGCGTTTCCCTGGAGGCAGATAGAAGCCCAGGTTAAGGGCCACAGGGATAATAATTGTGTTCATTTTCTGGAAAAAAAGCTACTTAGTGCCTTGAAACCCAGGCTGGCTTTTCATTCGGTTGCTCTCTGTCCGCTCAGATCACGCAGCAGAGCTGCTCATCTGACACGCTGTGAGATAGAGCTGGCCCTGGAGCCTGCCCGCGCGGACAACAGCAAGAAGGGAAATAGATAAACGTAGTAGGAATGGAGAATAGAAAGCCATGCTCAACTAGGAATTTTTATGGAGAAGTAAAGCTTTTATAGGAAGAAGGAAATTGCAATCATTAGTCAATCCTGCTAGCATAATGATTTATCTGACCTGGACAGCAATGAGTGATGGGGTTTGAGACAAGTTGGGATAGCAGCAAGACGAAAACATCCTTCATGCTGCTGCTTTTGCAAACCAAAAGCTCTTTTGGGTCCAGGATAACCAGGCGGTCTGTTGAGCTGTGAGTTTTAAAAACCTTTGGAAATACCTGCCGAGATATATATATATATATTTTTTTTTTTTCCCTGCTCCTTTCCTTTCCTCCCAAACCAGACATTTCACATTCAAGGTCTGCTTGTGCACGGAGGCCATTTATAGCCCTGGCACGTGGCAGTCTTTACAGAGTGGAAATTTTTCGGAGGTTGTGTCACTTCTGGTGCCGGCCCAGTGGTATTTTTTCCTGGCTGTGGGCAGCCTCCCGCCGCAGCGAGCGGAGCGCGGCCGTCACCCAGGCTGTGCCTCAGCACCTGGTAGCATCATCCGAGCTGAGGATCGGCCGCGTTCCCCGACCAGCGGCTCCCAGCGTGGAAGTGTCCGGGAAGCCGTGGCGTGACCTGGGCACTTCAAACACTGGTAGATAAGGTCCCCTGGCAAGCGGACATTTCCATTGCTCCTCGCTAAGATGGGAGAATTAAGTTGTCTGCGGGAGGCTGCTCTGCCTGTGTAGGACATCTCGGTAATGAATTTAGGCCCTGCTTACAAGTCCCGTTATTGGTGAGGGATTTCTACCCGGGCTTGCGCTGCCTACCCTAGTGTGTTCGCACATGAGCACGCACACGTGCGCATACGTGCCCAGCTTTGAATATGCGTTTCATGGCCTCGGCTGCTTTCACTGACATGTAGATAATTTTATATTTTCTCTGGAAAATTTTGTCTCCTCTCTGCATCTTATAAAGGGAGCAGGGCCTTCTCCCTCCAGTTCTTTACATTTAGGCATTCAAAAGAGAACAGCTCTTCTCAGGATTAATAAATTTATTATGGGATATGGGAAAGATGTTTTCAATTAGAGCTGGCGTGGCTCAGCCTTGCGGCAGGTATCTTAGGGAAAAAAAAAGCACAAATAATTTGCATTCTAGCTGTGTACAGATTTGTTAATTTAGGTCAGGTATCTCTACGTGACGCTCATGGAACGTTCGTTTGCGGTGCATGACAAATTTCTGAGCGTGTCTGCCAGCTGTTGGAGTGGTAATTATGCTCAGCCCCCATCCTGATACGAGATGGTGTGTGTCAGTATTACAATGCCTACATGTTTTATGT